CAAAGAAGTCATCAATTTAGTGCTTCTAACCAAAACTCTTTTGCGTACGACCCAGTGAAGACGTGAAAGTTCCCGTTGAAGTGAGAGGTTGTGAATTCAATTTCGTTTTGTAATTTCAATTCATAAGTGCTGGCTCCTCTAATGCAAGGGGGGGTACTTTCTTACTTCTCTGCCCTTCATTAGCACTTTTTTTTTAAAAACTACAAGCTTATGTGCACTAACAAAGCCTGTTTCTGACCTGGTATTGATAAAGAATGATCCATCTCAGATGTTTTCCGGCCTCAATCATAGTGGACTACTTGCAAAAAGGAATTGCATATAATTAATTACTTGATTATGGAGGGAGATCATTATTAAGATATTCTACAAAATATAGGTGGATGATTTCAGTCATAAACAAACATATAAACATTCATCTACTAAACCTGATTAGTCTGAGCATCATCTAATTAATTGTCTTCTATGGATTGAATTTACCAAAAACTTATTTAGTTGTGAATTATTAGGTGTAAGATCCTTAGATGCCAGTAGTTATTTCCTGTTCCTAACTTTTCTCTTCTGATTGATATCGTTGTGACCTGAATATATAGGCTTTTGCATATATGCAAGAATAGCTTTTTTTTTTTTATACTCTCTCTGATCCTATTTATAAATCACTTTTAGTTTGTTTCACCGAAACTAAAAAAAACTTTAAATCTCATTAATTTTGTCTTAAAATTTAATAAGTTTTCATCTTTACCTCTAAATTCTATTATTAGTATTTTTATTCAAAGCATTTAATAAAATAAAAGATATAAAGAAGAGCATTAGAAATTGACAAGTGTCTTATAAATAGGATCAATTTTTTTTTCTCCTTTTGCTTTATAAATAGGATCAAAGAAGTGCATTCAAATTAAACATGCACACAATCATGTCAATGCTGAGGTCGAAACTCAGGACCTCTTGTAGGTAAGAGAGGTAGTGCTATTGAGACAGCTTGCCGTTGGCATAGAGTACCTTCTTCAATTAGCAGGCCATGCATGTGTTATCTTCCGTGCTTTCTGGCACGTAATTTGTGGTAAAAAATTTCTGAAAACTCAGGTTCCCTTATACGTGGCGACGAAGATGGCATCAATAAGGAGATCGTCGTTCTTTGTTCCATCAACAGATGGATATGCAAAAGCAGGTTTGAGGTGGATAGGATATGAGCCTCGTTGCACGCCATATTGGCCTCATTCTCTTCTCTGGGCGTTGACATCTGTATTGCCTGACTTCATTATTGATACTTGGCGCTTTGGTTTCTGCCTTGGTATCCGCAAGAGAGGCCAACTCAAAGACTCCAGAATAAAGAAGGAATGATTGAAGATTTGATAGTTCTTTATAATGTTAGAGCATGTTGTTCTCCTTCTTGGTCTTTTCCCAAGAATGTTAGCACATTCATTATATGTTTCAAGTTTCAAATGCTGGTTATATGTTTCTGTTTTCAGCTTACTGTACTTGTGGACTGTGAGTGTTCTATATTTGCAAAAATGAACATGGATATTTGTGGAGGGATTGAAGGCAAAAAAAAAATATATATATATATATAGACTTGAGCTTCACATGTATTAACATCACACCCTTTTCTAAAGTCCAAATACAAGAAGAAACTTTATTCTACCAAGTGGGTTGGACTGTATAAATTACACGATACCTCTTCTAATGTACAAACGAATGCATAAATCTACTTTAGTATTTGCTTTGGTAGAAATTCAACGAGCTTTTAGCTTGAGAAAAGTAGCCGGTTAATGGCTTAAGTTTATTCCTATAGCAGCCGGGTCGAAAATGTGAGTTTCCAATATATATATATATATATATATATTATGTTGGCAAAGGATGTTTCTTAGAATTATAATTTTACAAGATTATATAACTTTACAACTATTATATAATTTTACAATTCAAAATTTATATAATTAGATTATGTATTCCAAATAATTGGTATGGTATACATATAGAATTTTTATAAAAAATTATTAAAAATATGAACATGGTATTAAATCAATGTTTTTCTCTTTTGACCAAAAATAATAAACCAATTTTTGATAAACTTTAAAAATATTTTTATTTTAAAAATTAATTATTTATTAATAATTTAAAGTTTCAAGAATTAATATATTTAATTTTTATTGATTTGGTTCTTTGAATTTACCTAAGTAATAGATTTTGTCTTTATTGTTTAAAAAGAATTTAACACTGTTAAAATCTACCAATATAGATATTGGAATATTGATAATATCTATGTAAATTAATAGAAAGAAGTTTAATTATTTATGTAGGGAAAAATATATTGAAAAATTTCAAAGAATAAAAGAATAAAATGTAGTATGATGGACTATATTAGTAAAATTAGATTGATTTAAATGCTAATTAATTCTCATTTAGTTACATATACATGTCAAATCATTGACATATTTTAACATTAGATTATTTTGAAAGTCAATTTGTATTTTAAAATTTAAAGGACCAACTTAGTAATTTAAGAAAATGTGAAGGACTAAATAGATAAAAATTAAATTTAAGAGATCAATTGATAATTGAGACAAACTTAAAGGACTATAGTCTCATTTTGTATGATGGAAGAGTTTTTTATGGCATTGGAATCGAAATCGAAATCAAAATCAGAATAGAATTGGATTATGAATGTATGTTTGGTAAGTGAATGTAATCCTAATAAAATTTTATTTAAAAAAATGTGTTTATGTTAGCAAAAGTCCAAAATACCCTTAATATTGAAAAATAACTGTTGTCTACTATGGAATCAAAGCTAGCCACATATTTAAAATTGAACTAGAAATCAGAATCATATCATAACCTATATAATCGACTATATCCAGAAATCACAAATACTTGTTTCACAAATTTGAAAACAAATTACAAAAATATATCATATGCAATTTGCTACTAAACTTGTGAAGAAGATCAAGGAGATTAGTGGAGAGCATCTCAACAATGAAGAAACTCAAGATTTGCTAAACCTACGATAGTGGTAAATAGCTCGACGAGTCGTCAAAGATCTTTTGTCCTCCTCAATGGTTTATAGTAGGTGTTAGTCGTTGACAAATCTAAGGTGGATTATCGCCGTTGATGGAGACTAAAGGTGGAGATCCGAGAAGCTTATTGTTGCTGTTCCATGGCAACTTGCGATGGTAGTGACGGAGTTAAATGGCAGTGAATTGTGATGGTGCTCCCTTCCTTTCTCATTGCCAACAACAAAGCGAGGTAGTAGATTAATGGCAGTGAACCAATAACGGTTGCAGAGTTCGACAACAATGGATGAAGAGTTTAAGGTTAGAAGAGAAAAAATGTTGAATTCCAGGGTGTTTGACCCAATTCCATAAGGGCAAGGATGGAATATAATTAAGTGCATTTAGATTCCTACATCAATTCCTTTTCCATGTTAAGGATTTCACACTACCAAACCTAGCTTAAGAGTTTGGTTATCCTTGAAATAAAGTGTAAAAATATAATTTAAAATTTTAAAAAAGAAAGACCATGTATTAGTTTTTGCAAAAATGACAATTAGGGGCCCTCTAAGGTCATCAATTACAATTAGGGACTCTAATTTATTGAAATCTTAATAATGGAATATGATTTTTACTTGGAACTAAAAAAATATGAATAGTTTAAAATACTCCTCGAAAGTGACTTTAATAAATTTTCAAGTGACTATTTTATTTTTCCGTTTGGTTTGCGTCAAGAATCAATTTTTTGGGGTTTAATCAATTTTCAAAACAAAATTTGCCAAACAGCATAATAATGACATAATCGATTAAACATGCTGAAATCGATTTTTTTGTTAATCTATTCATACCTGCTTCTGGTTTCCATTTTACCATGTTAATAATAACTAATTTGTAAATAATTCATAATTGTGTTAAATAAAATTTAACAAATTTATTAATATTAAATGCAACTTTATTAATAATTTAATTTCAAAAAGCAATGTATTTTATGATAATTTGCGCAGTTGAAATCAATTTTAATATCCAAACAGGTTGCATTATAACATAATCAATTCTGATTAAAATTTACTACTTAATAAATTATTTTTATAATTTATTATATCCAACTAAAATCCAAACGAATCCTATATTTATAAGTACCTTTGGAAAGTTTCAAGAGTGAACTTTGGTTTCATATTAGAAAACAATCAATTTCCAACTATTGTTCTTTAGTTTTTTAACTAAAATTAACAAAATTTCAATCCCATGTCATTTTTTTTTCAAGTGGTCTGTCTATATATTAACAAGTGTAAAAATTCATAGTTGATTAAGTTCATATTTAGAAATGACTTTAGTAGATTTTCAAATAGTTATTGTATATTTACAAGTGCTATTGGAAAGTTTTAAAAATAAATTTTAGTTTTATATTAAAAAACAATACATTCTCAACTATTACTCTTTAGTTTCGTAACTAAAATTAACAAATATTTCTATTCATAAGAGTAATTTTAGCAATGTCATTTTTTTTTATTTTTCAAGCGATCTGCCTATATATTAACAAACATAAAAATTTATAAGTGATTAGGTTCATATTCAAAAGTGACTTTAGTAAATTTTTAAATAACAACTATTGTATATTTACAAGTGTCATTAAAAAATTTCAAAAGTAAATTTTAGTTTTATATTGAGAAGCAATCCATGCTCAATTATTATTCTTTAGTTTTTCAATTGAGATTAATAATATTTTCTTTATATGATAATAATTTTAGCAGTGTCATTTCTTTAATTTTCAAGTGGAGTGCAATTTTGTAAACTCATGTATATTTTTAATTCTAAGTAAGTATCATGGTCTATTATTAAAATTTAAATAATTTAGAATCCTTAATTATAATTAATAGCCTTGGGGGTCCCTAATTGTCATTTTTGCTCAATTTTTTTAATTTCTGTTTTTAAAGAAAAAGGTCCATTCACTCGCTTGATTTGGGCCTATAAATGTAAAACCTTGAATACCGTAGCAGCTTGCCGCCAATCCATAAACCTCAAGCCGGAGCTCCTCCCTCTGAATGGCTCTTCAGAGTTCAGCTCCTGACGGCGACGGCAAGGCCGACCGCTTCACGGTCTTCATAGACACCAGCCTCGACACTCACCTCGCTATGATTGCTTACGACGCCGACACTGTTTCTGATCTCAAAAGTAATGCCCTTTTCTCCTTTCTCATGCTTACGAATCTGTTCTTACCTTTAACCTTGAGTGGTTCTCTGTTCTTGATGATTTAATTCTTTATTTCCTTGATATGAATTTAAGTTCAATAAACCAAAGCGATTCTCTATTGAGCGTTGGTTCGGATGTTTTTTTTTTTTTTTTCCCATCCTTTATTGGACTTTAGACGATCACCCAGAATGGTGATAACATGAAGTTAACTTAGTCTTGCTCTGCGCTCTGCATAAGTTGTGAGAAACATTTCCCTATATTCTCTGTGCCTAGTCATAAGATTATGTTAGTATGGCATGACTTCAGTGCTCTTCTTTTACTTTTTGTACAAGTTCTGACCTGTTCAAATGATATATGCCTGCCGTTGGCACGCAGAGAGAATTATGTTAGAACACCCATTGTGCTTTCCAAAGATTGGACAGATAAAGATCCATGCCATAAAGGTATGCTTCTTGATCCTGTTCCGCTGTTGTAATCATGGTTTTTGACTAAATCATATTATTTACAAAATTTTCTACTATGCTAGGTAAAGCGCAGGGGCTACTTTTATCACCTAGCAGATTCCATGTTGGTGAGAAGTGCATTTAGTGGGTTCAAAAAGACCTGGTTTCTTAGCATGGATGCATCTGCAGTAACGGAGAATGAAAAAACCCAGATTTCAATTTCTCCTGATTCTAGTAACCAGATAGCTTGTCATGGCATTGCAACTAATGCTTCGATTGGTGCTATTGATATTCCTCCCAGTCATCCTTCTAAAAGGGCGTCTGACTTCAATTGTTTCAAATTGCCACAATTAGAGAATGGACATGGTGAAAAGGAGGTTTCTTGTGTTAGCCCACGTGTTTCAGAACATAGTGGAAAAGGGTTTGTTGATAATCTGGAGACAGTTGTCAAACTCTCTGGCACTGATGACACTGTGATTCCATCAACTGGTTCAATTCCTGGATGTCAGGGAGATGGATTCAGTAAGGGAAATAAAGATGAAACCAATTTATATGATGAAAGAACCTTAAAATCTTTATCAAGTGCAAAGAAAAAATGCAAGGGTATTGGGGGAAAGGAAGGCACAGTATGGGATGATGTTTGCAAGGACAATAATGCTTCTGTTCTGGGAACTGGTATATCAATGGCTGAGCAGGAAGGTAATTTAGTCCCTGAAAACCCTTCAGAGAATGCAAGCAGAGATGAACTAGGTGGGAATTTAAAGAACACAAGATCTGTAGTACAGATGTCAAATGATGCAGTTAAGGAAACTGAAGCTCCAAAGGAGCAGTCTGAATGCAGGAATAATGGTAAGGAAAACATCAATGCTGAATATGATAAGTCAAGGACAGCGCCTTCTGAACATGCATCTACTGTAAATAAAAAACATAAGAAAAGGAAGAGATCTTTGACTCATGATTTAGAAGACAAGATGCAGAAGGTAGAGGGTGCATCTCAGCAGGCTGAAGTACACAAGTCCGATGAGGAACAAAAGAAAATTGAAGAACCAAAGGAATATGTTGAAACTAACCATGACAAATCTGAGGGCATGATTGAATTTCAACATGATATGGTTTCTCAAGAACCTTCAGATGCTGGATCTCCTGCAAAGAAAAAGCGGAAGGGAAAAGAGAGGAGTGGATATGAAAGTGCTTTGAAGGAAGAGAGATCTTTGGTTGGTGATTCTAATAAAGAGAGCTTGAGGCCAGAGAATGCATGTCAGCACTCTTTGGAAGACCTACCGAAGATTAAAGACAGCAGTGCTGGCCAACCAACCGAGCAATGCGGTGATGCTGATCCACTGAGAACAAGTGTGATAGGTTCTAAGAGGAAGAGAAAGAAAAACTCATCAAATAATCAAACAGCCACAAGTACTTCTTCCAGGAATGGTGATGCAGAGGATTCCAGGCTATATGGTGTTCAGGAGGAAATACTCAAAGATGGTCAGATCTCTAAAGGTGCTTCTACTTGGGATTGGTTTGGAAAAAAATCTGATATAATTACTTCATTTGAAATGAAACAGAAATGAAAGAGGGCATTTTTATGTAGATGAAAGAATCTTAAAGTTGAAATATATGTTATATATGTTTCTGATTCTAATGATATACGTTTTTGCTTTTGTAGATAACAGCGCCAGTAAAAATGCTGGTGACAACTTTGAAGTTGTAACAAACACATCCAAAGAAGTCACTATGTATAAAGTGAAAAGAACGGGGAATTCTAAGGATCATTGTTCCATTGATGTGGGAATAAATCCTTCTGATTTGGATGAGACGAGGGAGCTAACTGAGAGTAACGGCCTCCACATGGATGAGAATATTGACCTTGACAATTGTCATGTAAGTGAAGCTGGTCAGACTGTGCTAGCAGAAGAAGGAAGAAAGCTACCTCCATTAGATGATCCTAAGCATTTGCTGTCAGAAAATTGCATGACATCCAACCAGAATAACGCACATGCAAACATCAGAGAGTTGTCAGAGACTTCAGAGGTTCCAAAGGCAAATGAAACTACTGAATGTGGAAAATCAGAGAAGAAGAGAAGGAAGAAAAGAAAGGCTAAGGATGCAGATGGAGGATCTTTACTTACAGAAGACTTTAGCCATGTAGATGCTTCTAAGAGTGATACTGTTTTAATGGAATCGTATCAAGCAACAAATGATGATCCTACCTTTGCAGACACAATGAAAGAGGAAAGTCTTTTAAATCAAACAGAGGGGAAAGAGGTACCTCCAGAACAAATAAAAGGGACTTCAGATATTGACAAGGAAGTAAATGACATAAATGTTGGCTCCATGGAAAACATCAGCAAAACTGAAGCTCGTGCTGAAAATCCAAGTGAGAAAAGGAGCAAGAAAGCCAAGAAGAAACAAACTCCTACCGCAAAAGATGTGTCAGAAATGCTGACAAAAGATCAAGTTCTTGATTGTAAAGAGCCATCACCTGCTTGTGAAGCGACTATGGAACTAAGATCTAAGAAGAAAAAGAAAAGCAAGTCCACTAGTACAAAGTCCACTAATAAATCAAGTGGACCAATTTTGGAACCTGTGGGAGATGTTGAAACTGAACCTCCCCATTCTCCTTCAAATGCGCCCAAAGGAAATCACAAATCCCCTTCTGGAGCTAAAGAAACTGATATAAATTCAGTGTCTTCTTTTGGACATGAAGATGATAACCACTTGAAAGCTCCAACCAAAACGGAGATGATTAATGCTGAACAACATATTTCATCTGGGCAAGAGCAGCATAAAGATATTGTATCAGATGACATTCTTGTTGACAAGAATGGTGCTGATAGAACAGACATTGAGCCAATGCCTGGAAAGAACAGAAAAGTGCATGACGTAATGAAAGGAAATACTCATGTTGGGAAACTAAGATCCACAAAGCAACTATTGTCAACGGTGGGTAATGGACTTGGGATTAATCCTGATGAGAAAGTTCCAAAAGCACGCAGAACTAGACAAGAAGCTTATTTGTCTAGTCAGTCTAATAGTTTCACGTCCACCATTGAAGAAAACAAAAGGCCTCAAGATAACAAATCTTCTGGGGAAAGCATGAATTTGGAGAAAAATAGTGAAGTTTTTCCTGTATCAAATTCTAAGCTGAAAGCCCTAAAGAAAACAGTTCAAACTAAAGTTGGCAAAGCTTCTAGGAATAATATTCAGGGAGTTGTGGGTAAAAAAGAGCAAAAGAAGAGCTTGTTAGCAGGAACAATTTTCAAGGATGATAGTAGTGGCACCTCTGATGACAAAGATGAAGAAGTTAATGATTCCAGTTCCAGCACTAGAAGTCCATCAGATGCTTCACTCTCGCCTGATTACTCACATGATGATAGTGATGCAGGTGTGAATTCTATACAAAGTATAAACTGAAATCTTTTTTAATTGGGAGACTTTCTGTCTGTCTGTATGTGGCTGGACCCTGGGTGGATGATTGAGGAACAGGTAGAAAATTCAATGACTTCTGGTTTTGGTAATTCTTAGGTTAATGTGCTCAAGGTGTTACTTTTGAAGTTAAGGGAAACCAGAAGTGGAAAGTTAGTATTGATCTCTGAAGTATTGTCGTTCCATCATTTTTTGTTTCTTTTACTTAGAACATGGATCTTGTTCTATTTCTGTTTTAGGATTTTGATGTGGATGATTTGGATGGCAATTTTGGAGCCACCCCACCGCCCCCCAACCAAAAAAAAAGAAAAAAATGTTGAACAAAATATTCATGCAGCTTCGTTCTCAATTTTCTTCATTTCTTCATAGAACTGATGATTATGGGACCTCAAACTAATTTGTTTTCTTTTCTCTTCTCTCTCTCTCTCTAACTAAATTGCAACAGGTTCACATGGTGGGACAGGACTGGAAAATGGTGGAGAAAGCCGTATAGAAGAATCACGGTAAGTTAATTTATTGCATTCATGCAGCTAAAATTTGGCAGTTTTAAATGATTAAATGGCTATTTTCCTCAATAAATCTTCATGTTTTTTTTTTGGTGGTTACTAAAAGCACATGCAAGTATAACATGTTGAGTCATCTCTATATTAAAATACATTTTATGCTATTTACATATGCTGAAAATAGACGAGATACACTTAATATCTTCCAAGATATATTTCTATCATCTATAATCTTAGTCAGGCACAGGCTCAATTTACTTGGTCAAGATTATTGTGCATATGCGTGCTATTTGGATGGTTTATTCAATGGAATGAGCCTTTCCCATCTAATCTCAATTTCTCATGGGACAGATTATCTTGTTTTCATAGAGTTGGGCTGGGTATTTGCAGTATCTATAGATATATGTTCCTCCGCTGAACGAACAATTATAAAGAACAACAGATTTTAGAGGACAGAACTGTTGAACTTTTTTGCCCAAGAATTAATTCTGAAAAGGTCACCAAATCATTTGGAGTTGCACTATTTACCCTTCGGTGTTGCGGTAGAATCTGATTTGACCAAGTCTTTGAGCCCTTCTGCACTAAAATCAAAATCTACTGTTTAAGTGTGAATGGTGTGATTTCATTTAGTTGGCAACTATAACTGATCAGAAGTTTGTGTTAGAGTCAAGATTCTTGAAAGTGTGCCTAATTAGATTCTTAACCTTTATCTTTTACATATTGTTCCTTTATACATTATGCACTTGACTTGAGTAGATGTTTTAGGGAATTTCCATTGTTGTGTGTTCCGCATGCTTTGGTTAGAGCAGTATCTGAATCTTTCTTTACTTTGGCAGCTTGTCAGTCAAAAAAGGGATGCCCATTGATAGCATTCTTAGAAGCTCTCGCAGGTATAAGAAGGCTAAACTGACAGCCTCTCAATTTGAAGAAAGTGAAAATCAACCCGTTGATTTTGTTCCAGACAGCCTGGCAGACATGTAAGCATTGAGTTCTGGTCGTTCTTCATTTATCTCTGCCGGTGTTTTCTCTATATCCTCGTTGCAGCTACAAGATTTTGTTCACATGAGATCATGTAAGAAGAGCCTACAAAAACTCTACTTTTGCTGGAGCGATTTTCCCTTTACCTCGTTTCAGCATAGAAAATTGAGTTTGGTTTGCTGTTTAAGCTCTTCAGACACTAATCATGGGTCAATTTATGTCTCATTGGTGCATTTTATTACAAATGTTACAAATAGTAACTTAAATTTTGGTCTGAGGATACAAAATATAAAGAAAGCGTTTTGCCAAAGTAATTGCTTTGGTTGAAGTTTGGATGAATGTTGAATGACAATGCGAAAATGATAGCATTTCAAGGTTCCATTAACCCAAAAGTTCTACAGAACTCTTGTCTATGCTCAAGTTCTGTCATCTCATCCATTAAATTTACTTTAATTTAAAAAAAAATGCAATTATCATTCCTTGTAATTTTATCATATTTTGCTTTGAGCCCCCATAGGTATTTTTTTTTTTAGTGTTTACAATGTTTATAATTTTTGCAAGATTGGATGATATTTGTTACTTAAATCCCTATAGTTTTATGAGGAAAAAAATGAAAGAAAAACTGTAGGGATTAAAAACTTGATGAAACTATAGGAATGGATGATTGTGTTTTTTCATAAAAAAAAAATATCTTGACCAAAATACTCATTCTTTATATATTATTGAAAAAATGAATTATTTGATTTTTTAATTTTAACTCAGTTGTAATTTAATTTTTAAATTTTTAAATTTTAATTAGTTATAACTTGATTCTTATAATTGTAACTCAGTTTGTAAACTTCAACTCTTACAATATGGTTTTTATAGTTTTACTATTTAAAATATTGATCCTTATAGTTAAAAAAAAAAGATACAGAGATTTAAACTGTTAAAAAAATAGGATTAATGTTTTAAATTATCAAATCTTTTTAATCTTTATAAAGATTAAAATTTTAAAATATTTGTAATCTTTATAATTTATTTTTTAAAATATAGAGGTTAATATTTTAAATGATTAAAATTATAGAAAGTGAATTGTAAGAGTCATAATTCTTGAGTGACAATCAAATGAAATCTGCATCTGATTTATCACATGGCACTCTTTGACCGAGCAGGAATTCCTATGGTTCCACAATATTAAACTGAGCATTGCATGTTTTGAAGCATCAAAGTTGTTCTGATTTGTTATATGAAACCACGTAGAAATAAAATAAAAATTGAGATTGGCCAGGAAGAAGGAAGGCTTCATGATAATTGTTTCTTAACACCCTGGTCTCAGCTACCATCTGTCAAAAGCTTATTTTCTAAATAGTGATTTCATTAAGGCTCCATTGGTAAACCTTGACTGATAAAGACCAAAGTTAAGTGGAACAACCAAAAAAAAAAAAAAAAATCCCCCACATTCATGCAGAGACATAAATCATAAGAATTTATTTCATGACCAAAAATATTCTCAAGTTGCATTACTCATGCATCCAGTTTCATCAAATCAAAAGTGAAAACAAATTAGCTAACCTTCTTACTTTCTTCAAGAAAACGAAGTACATGTAATGACTTTAGCATAGACACGCTATATATATTTATATATTTGAATGGGAAAAGAGATACATTAATCAGAAAAACGATTACAAATCAGTTCGTAGAAAGTGATTGCAGCTTCCCATCATCCACCACTTGTTAACAGTATGGTACTCTATAGTATTAGTAGTATGACTAGCATGTTATCTACTCTGCAAGGTTATGAATATTTTAGAGCATGTTATCTATACTCTGCAAGGTCAGATAAATAACAAGAAAGGGTAAGACTTTTTAAGAGGTTTTTCCTTCTCAGAAACTTCAACCTCAGCTGTTGTCTCTATAGCTGTTCCTTCTACAAGAAGGTCTCGCTACATTCTAATACTCAAAAGTCAAAATCTCTGACTCCAAATGGAGCCATACCGGTTCATGACATTATCATGCATGAACAAGAGTTAAGACTTGGCCTTATGAAAAAAGGGTATTTAAAGATGTTGCAAAACCATTTCAAGCCAACTGTGAAATCACGTATGATCATCCATGTTCATGGAACAGAAACGCAGAGGCCATTTCAACAATAAATATTACTATAGATATATCCCCTTAACTAGTCATATGGTTGGCTTTAAAGTGCATATTTAGAGAATCAAAAGCTAATCCTTGGCATTCAGTACCTTACAATACAAGTCACAAAGATGAAACTGTATAATTTTTATACATTCCACAAAAATCCCCTCTTACCATCATCAACACAAACCAAAACTCACTGAGATCTCATCCTGTTGATCTGGTTGAGAGCAGGCTGCAATATGTTATACAACACCCACAGAATCGCTGGTGCCACCACAAACAGCAGAAGCTGGCCCCTGTTGTCACTTGCAGCCTCAGCAATGGTTGCCACCTCAGCAGCTGAACTCTCTGGGGCCCACCCCAAGAGGCCTGACCCCACCAAACCACCGAGCCCTAACCCAACGATCACCCCCTTGGTGCTTCTCATCCGGTTCAGCTGGTTCAGTGCTGGCTGAAGAATGTTGAACAGAACCCATGCTATTGCTGGGATTATTGGTAGCAGCAGAGCTAGCCCCCTGTTATCCCCTCCATCTGCTATTTCAGCGATCTGTTGGGCTGCCAAGGCCGCGTCGGAGCTGCTCAGAGCGGCAAATACAGCCCCGGCAATGGCGGTTCCGGCGAATGTGGTTGATGGGTTTGTGGAGACGGTGGTGGTTTCAGAGGTTAGGCCCTTTGGGAGGTTTTGCAAAGAAAGGAGAGAGGCGGGTTTGGAGGATAGCTTGGTGGGGCTGGGGAGTTTTGATGAATTGAAGCATTTTGCGCTGGTCATGGCCATTGCTGCTACGGTTGCCGCCATTGTTGGACCTGTAAATCAAGCTTCGTGCAATGAAGATGATGGATGATACACTTCTATGTGATATGGAGCAATAGCAAAGGAATGAATGGAGGGAAGTAGAATAAAGATTTGCGGAAGAAAAAGCTAAGCTAAGGCAAAGTGTGAGAAATGAGAACCAATAAAATTGTGGTTTCTGGATTCTTTTCTTATCCGAATATTGTTATTGGTGAGTTATGGACCTCACGTTCCACACCCCTACCTCTCTTATCACATTTGTTCCAACGTGACATTTTGCCACTTGAATTGTTGCATGGTAAATTTTAGTAGAGAGTTCGACGTTCTCATCACCCGAAACCAAGTTAGAGAAACGACATGTCGTGTCGTGGGTTTAGTGGTATTGTAGCAGATTTGCCCGTATAGTTTTGGACTTCTTTTGAATTGGGCCCAAATCAATTTTAGGCCTCATTACCCAACTTCTTTGGAAGAGAGTCCAGAGGCACAAATAATATGCACGTATACAGTACTCTTTTTGTTTCGCATTATAAATACTTTTAACTGATTTATATTCTTATAAATTAGTTAATTATTCTTAAAATTACACATTATTTTTATATTTATCTTTATTTAATATAATTTATTAATTAAATTTTTTTATTGATTACACCCCATAACTAAGTGTATTTTTTTAAAAAAATTTTTATTAATTACGCTTTGAAAAATCCAAAATATCTTATATTTTAAATATGATATTTTTAAAAAATATCTTATAATATTAAACGGAAGAAATGTATGCATACATACATATATATATAAATATAAAATGATTAAAAAATGAAACTATGATAGATATCTTATTGATCAATAATAATTTGAATGCAAAATTTAAATTTATTCCTACCAATTATTAACTTAATTTATTTTTTTGAAATTATATATATATATATATTTATTTTAAATATTTGCCCACAAGTATTCTCGCATTATTCCTACCAATTATTAACTTAATTTATTGTTATTGAAATTATATATATTTTTCATTTTAAATATATGCTTACAAGTATTCTCGCATTATAGAATAGAATTCCGCATAGTTTTTAATTACATTGGCGAGAGATTTATGTAATTTTTTTATTTCAAAAATATGAAAATAGTGAAAATGAAAAGGAAATATGTGTAATTTTGATAAATTTTGGGAAAAAAAATGTTATATATATTGAAGAAGTTTTATTTTAAAGGTGAAGATGCAAGTACTAAGGCCTTTTCAATGACTAATGAGGGAATAAAATTACAAATGAACTTCTTGAGACCCTTTTTTCTACGAAGAAAGAAGAATAAATAAATTATAATCAGATGACACAAAAATAAGTCAACGTCCGAGTTAAATATGTTGGGGCAAAAAAATGTGGAGGTACTGTTTCTCGTTGACATCTACGCACAATGATAATCTGAACAGCATTAAGAGTTTGGTAAATTATTATCAGCTTTACGGGTCGTTGACTTTGATTTTTTTAAAAAAAAATTATATATAAATCCCTTCCTAAACTCAATTGTTAATTAAATTAAAAAAATTAATTATGTTAAGTGAGACTTTAAAATGATTCTTATTTTTTTATATTTTAAGGTGCAAAACCTAATAACTCTATCATCCTACAAAACCATCGGCAGAATCAAAAAGATAATCCGCTTTTTTAAAAAATATTAGATAACCTCTGCCCAAAAAAATGTATACATAATCAAAAAGATATGAGCTTATCATGAATAATACAGTGATATATGTACGGCAAGATGTGCCCATACTTTTGGAATATGTGATGTTTCAAACAAAATTACTTTTAATAAAGTGATATATGTACACAATAAAACAAATATGGGTTAAAAAGCAAATTTGCGCGGAAAGTTTTCACTGGGTAAAGCTAGTGTCTTTAATTTTTGATTGGTGTAATGTTATTTTAAAAATTTTAAAAATGATACAATATCATTTGATAATAATGTTTGACAAACACAGCTTATTAATTGAAAATTTCTTTTTTTTATACAAGGGAAATACAAGGAAAAAGCAAGCAATTTTATCCTTGAAAGTTTCTCTGAGAGTAAATAGTAACTTTTGATTAGCGCAATATTTTTAAATTATTAATATTTAAATATAAAAAAATTTAATAATCAGTTATCAATGTTTAAAAATAACTTGTATTTCTAGATTTTGACTAGAAGCCTTACCCAATGTTGCTTGAGCATCAAACCAACTCTTCCAAAGTGTTTGATGGATTTTCCCTCAAGGAAAATTTGGACTTACTCTTATTTTGCTCACAAGAAAGGCTAGAGTCTATCCATGTGTTCATGAGCAGCCCTCGACTTGTGTAGATTTAACTATAAGCAAATATAGACATGTTTGGATTTGCTTATGGATAATACATACTAGTTTGAATTTTGACATATAGGTGTTCAATATAATTCAATTTAAAATCTTTTTTCTTAATTTTGGGTAATGAATTGTTGGATATTTTTTTAATTTAAAAGTTGGTAACCCAAAAAGTATTATGTCAATCGAAAGTTTAAGATATTGCTTACTCTTTTAGGTAAATTTTTGGAACACAACAATCCTTTAATGGTCATAATAATATTTAAAGTTAGTCAAATGTTACTATAAAATAACATTACACCATTTGTTAAATTTTTAAGATAATAGTACATCGATCAAAAGTTAAAAATATCACTTGCACTTAGCAAAATTTTTTTAAAGATAAATTTGCCTTTTGATCAAAGAAAATATTAGTATTGAAGATGGCCCAGTTAATTAGGCCATATTTTACTTAATTTTCTCTTTATTTTCAAATAAGTCATCTATGAGTGATAAGGAAGTTTGAGGAAATTCTGATCTAATTTTATTATTTTTTTCAATAGTTAAATAAATTAGGATAAATGAGCAAATTTAATCATAAATTATCTTTTAAGGATTATTTAGTATTCAGAGTGGTGTAAAAAAAATTTATCAACTACCAAAAGCAGAGTATCTAGCACCTTCAATTTATTTTCCACGACGCCTTGTTGGAACTCCTTCACTGCTAGCATCCCACTACCATCAACCTAAAATCCGAGCTCACTAAGAGTACCCTAGCATGCAGGAGGCCGAGACAACAAACAGAGAGCTTATGTAGGGAACCCTAGCTGCCGAGTAGAACAGAAGAATCAGAGACGATGGATGAGATGGTGTGGGAGCACTTGATTTTCTAGCAAATATTGTGAATCAAGGAGGAAATTTTGGTGCACAGGCAAGGCAAGTCCAATGTCAAGGATTGTCTTTAAGGCTAAGGAAGATGTGGAGAACAAAATCATCCGGCAGCATTGAGAAAAATGTTTCTGCCATTGTTGATAGGTTTTTTTTTGTAATGACTTGATCGAATCAAAATGAGGTTCTAGAAAGCAATATAGGTTTCGTATATGGATGCTCAAGCGCTGTAGAGAGGGACTGGAATGACATGGCAGGCTACAGGAATAGAGATATTCTTGAGTGTTTTAGTTCCAATGCCGATCCACTTTAGGCAGATGAACAGGAAAGCTGGAGTGAAAAAATACAAGAAGAAGAAGAAATATAGAAAGTTCGAGTAGAGAATCAGATATGCTTGCAGGAAGGCTTACACTGAGAAGCAACCCAAAGTGAAAAGGGAAGATTTGTAAAGAGGCAAGACTTGACCTTAGACAAAGCTATGCCTCTCCAATGAACATCTCAGCCATCATCACAAAATAGCTTAGCTATAATTGAATTTGCACTAGTTTCAATGTTAAGTCCTTCTTCAAAATATGAAGTTGATAGTCGTTTTTACTGAGGTCATGTTTGGTAGGTTGGAATTGTGAAGATGCAAATGAAATTGAGATAAGAATCTGAATAAAGTGATGTTTGGTAGATATAAATTACAATTCTTGAGAATCCTGATTCCATGAAAAGAGGTTGAATTGAATTCCTTATTTAAAGCTATGGAATTGGAAGCAATTCTATAGAATTGTAACATTTAAGACACTTTTGCCCTCATACAAATTCCAAAAAGACAAATTTGCCCTAAAAAAAAAATAAAACCCTCACCTCACTCCTAGTTCCTGATATTTTTGCTCATTATATATAAAACGTTATAATATATATATAAGATAGTATTATATATGATATTTGTATATAATTTATATATTTAATATTTTTTGTAAAATATTTTACTGGATTTTTTATTATTTAGAAAGGGAAACTTTTGATTTTCTTGTATTTCCTTGCTACCTTTATTAAATATTTTTATTGGTACACAATTAAGTTTTTATTATGTTTTATTTTAATTTTTATATAGGAATATTTTTATCTTTTAAGTATAATTTCATTTTCATGTCTTACATACCAAACAAAAGTAATATAAGGATTCCATCTAATTTTTCTGACATATCAATCATACTTTTATAATTTAATTCTGATTTCAATTCTGATTTCAATTCCAATTTTAATTTTATTAAAAACTATTCAATCATACCAAACGAGGTCTGAGTTCTGATTACTTGGCTTTGTCTATTAATTTGTTTGTCGGCAAATGTTAAGTTGTATCCTTTGCCACCGACTTCGAGTATGTTTAACTGTGTATGAGAGATGAGGCTTGCTCGATGATCTCATGTTTCTATAAACTCCTCATTTTGTAGGAACCCGAAGAAGGCACCAAGCATTCCGATGAGCAACGCAGGTTCTGGCATCATGGAAGGGAGAGGAGGAGACAGCAAAGAGAGAATGAGAGTGTAGACGTGGAGTGAGTGAGTGGAAGATGAGAGACCACACGTGGCATGCCAGCTTTTTATTCCAATCAAAGATAATAGTTGTTTGTTGAGAATGGATGTAAGGTGTTAAATGCTCTATTTTTTTACCCTTGAGGAATTTCTTTGCTCCACCTTTTAATTTGCTTTTTGAAAAATAACTTATCAGTAAATTTACTCCTTTACCCAACAAATTATTAATGGGTATGGTATGGTTTGGGCTTTTGGTTGCATATCACTATAATAACTAAATTTAAGAATTAAGTTTTGCTAGCAGATGTGTTCACATTTATTATTTACTAATATTTTAAATAAAATTATTTTTAATAAAAAAATACATGTAGTTAACTAAAAAGAAAGATTCAAAACTTTTAATTAGCTATTTTTTAAATAAAAATATTTTTTTTATAGAATATCAATTAAAAGAATATTTTGATTTTAAATTCTGCATTAGTTAAAATATAATATTAATATTAAAGCTGAATAATCTCATTTTCTATAGACAGGGAGTTGGACAATAGACATGTCATGTAAAAAAAAAAAAATTCATTAATCATTAACACTTTAATAATATCCATTTACACGTTATCCTTCTTAATTGGAAGTCATATGCAATTTATTTCCTGTAACTTTGAAATTTAAATGTGTGATCCCTAATCTTTATGTTTGAGTATTTATGTGTTAGTTTATATATATATATATTGCATCCATCTCAATTTACAAATTTTTATATGATCATTCAATGAGTTAGATTTGAATATTGTTGACTTACTTGAGGGTAAATTTTTCAAAAAAAATTCTGCGTTTATAAAGGTCAATTAAAGTAAAGGGCATCATCACTATCATGATGTGAGGACATGTGTAGACTTACAAAATTTAAAAAAAAAAAAGGTAAAATCTTGAGACTTTTTACTGAAACAATCATGTGTTCGTTCAATTTACAAGTTTTTCGCAGCACAATCATTTTAACCAGTAAAAATTAATTCAGTTAATAATAATTTGATCAATAATCAATGAAATTATGAGATTAAATATCATTACTGATATAAAAATTTTATTAATGAAGAATCTATAAATACACCTATAAATATTTTTTTAAACACATGGAGGTATATCATACTTCTAATGAGCCATCAAAATATAACTCACCCATACTTTTGATTATATAAAAAAGCACAACTATTTTATTATTAAATTTCATTTAAATTGTAACTAGAAAATTTTCACTTTAGCGGCATGAATCCTATCCTAATATGAAATATAGCGCTTCTTGCACTTAATGAATTATGAGCGACTTGTTTTTTTAAAAATATTTTTTTTTCCCTTACTAAACAAAGGAGATATTTATTTATTTATTTATTTATTTTTTAATATTTGTCCTTCCCCAAAAGTCCTAAAACCCAGAAACTCAGGAAAAAAGACTCCAATATTTGCGCTCCAGAGATATCATCAGTTCATCACACAACAAAAGCACTCGAATGCAACTCTAACCATACCGCCATTGAAGACAACCCACCCAGTCTCCTTCTCTTCCTCTTCTATGCTACGTCTTGTTCACCACAAGCATCAATAGCTGTAGCTCATAGCTAGGGTTTCTTCTTCTTCCACATGGCGACTCTGCTATTCTTCGCGCCGAGCGCGACCTCTTTTCCTTTCTTTTACCGGCCGACTTCAACGCCCCGCCCTCTCCTTCATCGACCTCATCACCACACTAATCTCTTCCATTCCAGGCACTTCCTTCCCGGTTCGCTTTCCGTCACCAGGTTCGCCTTCAAGCCTGGTTTCCTTCCGGAACCTCATGGTGCTGAGGAGCTCGTCAAGGACTTGCTTGATCGAGCTGACGCTTTTCTGTACACTGTTGCCGATGCCGCTGTTTCATCTTCCGATACGGTGACTACCACCGCCAAACAGAGCAACGACTGGCTTTCTGGTATTACCGGTTACATGGAGAGCGTTCTCAAGGTATGAACTTTGAACTCCCGTGCTCTTTGACTCTGTTGAATTTGCTTTACTCGTAATTGTCAAATTTTTTGTTTTTGAAAACACCAATTGAACAATCGATGGACTATCTGAGCTTAAGCTAATAAGTTGAAAGGCAGTTCCGCGTTTGCCTTTCCGCAGTTTTCGTTCCCATGTCATTTCAAGACTTAGAATTATTATTAGGGACGGATCCAGATTTGAGTATTGCGTGGAAAACTACAAAAAGAAGAAGGGGGGTAGCATCTCGTGTTGAAGAATTTTAGCAAAACTTTTCAGCAATTCCTTGTTATGTGTAGATTATTATTAATAATTTAAAAGTAATACAAGTTGAATGCCTCCTCTTTCCTATTGGAACCCAGCTAAAATAGAAGAGTATTAGAATAAAGATAATACAACTTAATCATCTCATTGCCCTTCAATCATCTAATGAATGTATTTCTGCAATCTATCATCATATTCTGTCAAGGTCCGATACTTATGTAAGAAGTAACTTAAACTTTCAGGTACTAAAGGATGGGCTTTCTGTTTTGCACGTACCATATGCTTATGGTTTTGCTATTATACTCCTTACGATTCTCGTTAAGGCTCTTACATTTCCATTGACAAAGAAACAGGTTTGTCCTTGTTGCAATATAAATCACTCTTGCTGATTTGCAAACTTCAGTAAATAACCGATCTCATGTCTGTATTTCTGAAGGACTTATTTTTTATAATAATCCATGGCATTTGTGAATTTTTTTGCATGTTTTCGTTCTCATAAAAAATGTATGGTTCTGAGTAACACTGCTATTGACAATAGCAAGGTTCTCAAGCCTTAACAGGCTATGTAGTTTCTCATTTCATATTTATCATCAATTCATTATGTAAAGGTGAATGACATTGTACAGGTAGAATCTTCCTTAGCTATGCGGTCTTTGCAACCTCAAATAAAGGCTATTCAGCAACGTTATGCTGGTGATCAGGTAATTTATTTGGCCTCCTTAATTTACTTTTTCAAATGAAACTTCTTTCATGATTTATGACTGTACTACTGTGGTGGTGGGAAACACTCTTTAAAAACTTTAGGATGTTCCATTGAAACCTTTTAACCAAGGAAGCTTTAAATCAACCTAATTTTTGTTTTTATTATTAAAAAAAAAGTGAAGTGGCTACTACACTGTTTGATCGAATTTCAATTCTATTACTTCTTTTGGTAGCTTTTCAATACTAGTCACCAATGTGATCTTGTTTATCCATATGTCATATAACTTTTCTCCTTGCAGGAAAGGATCCAACTTGAGACTGCTCGGTTATATAAATTGGCTGGCATTAATCCTCTAGCAGGTATTCATGACATAATTTGACTACAACAAAGTTTGTAAATCAGGATGAGGCTTCCTGTGACTAATTTCAGAACCTTGCTCCTGTAACTTGTATGTTCTTCAAATTCATCTAAAAGTGAAAACATCATTGTATCCTTGATTGGATAAGAACTCTTTTAATGGCTTAGGCAGTGGTAGGCATCTAGCAACCATGTATAAAGCATTAAGCCGTTGCTCATGAAATTAAATTGGTAATTCATTTTGTAATATTTCCACCTCTCTCTGTTCCAGGATGCCTGCCTACGCTTGCAACAATACCTGTATGGATTGGGCTATATAGAGCACTTTCAAATGTGGCTGATGAGGTAGCTTGCATATAAGTTGATTTGCTACTACAAAATTTAATTTTTGACTTGTTGAGGGAGGTTATATGTTGCTACTTTCGACGACTGATTTTACACTTTCATTGAATACACAAGGGACTTCTTACAGAGGGCTTCTTCTGGATTCCTTCCCTTGCTGGCCCAACTACAATTGCTGCTCGTCAAAATGGAAGTGGTATCTCCTGGCTGTTTCCTTTTGTGGTATGTCACATCTTTCGAGGATTTTAGTGTTTGTGTATTATGGCTACCATTATATTTCATTTTTCATCTTCAAATCATTTGAGGTTGAATTGCAATTTTTTTTATTATATTAATAGAATAGAAGATAGTGTTGTTTAAATTTTTATATATTTTTTGTCTAGTGCTTCAGGTTGGATCTCAACGTGGTGTCTGTTCCATAATGGGTTTCTCTACTCTTTCTTTTTTCATCAGGATGGTCACCCACCTCTTGGATGGTCGGATACATTGGCCTACCTTGTGTTGCCTGTATTACTGGTTGTCACTCAGTACATTTCTGTCCAAATAATGCAGTCGTCACAGGTTAGTCTTGTTGTATGCATAATTCAATCTGATAGATGCAGGTTCTAAGCTTCATCCTACTCATGAAGGGAAAGAAAACGAGGTTCCTTTTTTGTGTTTGCCCATTTATGTAGCTTAGTTTCTCATTGTTTTTCATGTTGACTTTCAGCCTAATGATCCCAATATGAAGAGTTCTCAGGCCCTAACTAAGGTCCTTCCTTTAATGATTGGTTACTTTGCCCTGTCAGTTCCTTCCGGTTTAAGCCTTTACTGGTAGGCAAAAGTAGAAGGCCTTTAATTTGGCATTATTTATTTGATCATCTGCTGCCCTACCTATATATTATATTATATATTTATATATTTTGTTTTAAGTTGTGCAGGTTCACAAATAATATATTGAGCACAGCACAACAAGTATGGCTTCAAAAACTTGGAGGGGCTAAAAACCCAGTGATGCAAGTACGTGATAGTACAGTAAACGATGACTTAATGCAGATTCAGAAGTCAGTCTCTGAGCTAAATCCTCCCCCTAAAAGAGAGGCCAGTCTAGGTGAGAAGTCAACATCAGAGGGGCCAAAACCAGGTGACAGGTAAGTGATTGTGGACAGCCTCATTTTGCCATGTCTTAGTATATTTTCCACCCCTCATATCATGACACTGCTTTACTCTCCTTTTGCAGATTTAAGCAAATAAAGGAGCAAGAGGCAAAGAGAAGACGACAGAGAGAAGAAGAAAAAAGGAAAGCAGAGGAGGCAGCAGGTAAAGCAACTGAAGTGCATGAGGCAAGGGACAAAACAGTTCAGGGGGGACATGGGGATGGAGATGATTTAATTGTTGTGAAGTCTGAGGCTGTGACCGCAAATAATGATCCTTCTACTTCTGGTGTTGTTGTAAATGGCAATCCATCTAGTGAGGATTTTGGAAGACATCAAAATGCCACATCTACATTGCAGGCAGAAAATAATGGTTCTGCTAATTTCCAGTTCAATGAAAGGAATGAGAGAAGTCTAGAAAAGGTATGATTGCTATTTTCATTTAAATTTGGTGTATAAAACATATCAATATGGTGCAGATGTGTTTGTTGGTTCCTGTCACAATGTATGAGAATGAGGAAGTTTGGGGAAGTTTCAAACTCTCCCTTCTTTTCTAAGGGTTTATATTTTGATTGGAACCTTAAAAGCATGTCCAAATTCATTCTAAGCGCATTGTTGTGTCCTCTATTTTGGATGGTTTGCTCTGCAATTTTTCTCACTTATTTTATGATCATTCTTAGAGTGCAATATCTTGCTCTTGCGATGCTTTCAGGTATTGTGATGGTCGAGAATATGGAATAGATCAGCCTACCAAATGATATTATATTTGACAAAAATATCTTCTGGTTGAGAAGACGACAAGAATATTTGGAATTTGAATTCTTTTTGCACTTCTTTTTTTTTTTTATCATGTTGACAATTTTTGTCACTTTGAAGTTAATGATGTGACAAAAATTGTTAACATGATTAAAAAAAAAAAAGTGAGCGCGTACTCGAAAAAATGGGGGTAACACCTATTGAGGAAAAAATGATAGAAAATCATTTGAGATGGTTTGGGCATGTAAAAAGAAGACCGTAGGAGGCACCAATAAAAAGAGTGGAACATATAACTTTGAGCCCTATTAAGAAGAGTAGAGAAAGGTCTAAGAGGATATTTTTGAAAGTTGTTGAACGTTATCTCTTAATTAATAGTATTTCTAAAAGCTTAGTAAATGATAGAGTACAATGTTGTCTTGCAATCCATATAATCAATCCCATCTAGTGGGACAAAGGCTTGTTGTTGTTGTTGTTGTTGTTGTTGTTGTTGTTTAAGTTAACATTTTTACAGATCATGCAGTTTTTTTTATGAGCCAAATTCACTATATCACAGGAAACAGAAGCATACACACCTGCTGCCACAGACAGCAAGGCTCCTGCTGAAGACGGAGATCAATCAACAAAGGATTGAGAAACCAGAAGATATAGGAATTTCAGTGTGCCAAGAATGACTGGCCCATTTTCCAACTAGAGAAATTTTAAAACACAGCCTCCTTTTGCATTTTGTAATCCTGGTTGCCATTGTACATCAGCCTGATAGAAATGGTAGTGTCATCAGCGTGATAGAAATGGGAGTGTCATCATGATGGCTGATTTTGTAGCTTCGTAGTTGGAGTTTGTACTATATGTAATTTTTCCCCCTTCAATTCCATGAATAAAAAGAATGATAAAGGCATCCTTATTAGAAACAGATGCTTCGGATTACCTTTGCCAACTTGTCACCTAAAGTATTCTTATACGTGCCTTGGTTTTGATCTTATAGAGGAGATATTTTCGTTCAGGAATTTCCATGACTCAAGGTATGTTTTTGTGGTATGACACCGAACGTTTGCTTTTTTTAAAAAAATATAATTTTTGATCTCTATAATTTTATTGAATTTTATTTTAATTCTTTTAATTTTTTCTAGTGTTTTCAGTCCTCGTAAGGACTTCAAATATTAAAAAAACTGAAATTACAAGGATTTAAGAAACAAACATCATCTAATTTTTTTAAAACTATAAGAATTGAAATTATTGAAAAAAATTACAAGGATTAAAATTAAAATTTAATTAAATTATAAGAACTGATAATTATATTTTCTCAATTTAAAATTTGCCAGGATATTTTGGGTCATTGACTTGTATTAATTTGCATGTTTTGAACTTTTAGGGTTTAGTTCAAGATCGGCCATGCTCTAGGACAACTTTGAGGTGAAGTTATTTCTAGAGACAATTATACAAAATGAAACAATGAAGGCTTCCATAGTTTTCAATTTTCTTTTTGGCTAAGTCCATCGTTTTCAAGTTGACTGCTTGTTCCTTTTACTATATTTTGTGTTTTTTAGTCACCCTACTGTCACGTTTCGTCATTTTTCACAAGGTTAAAGAGGTCCGAAATGCTCCAGAACCCTCCAGAAGGCTCCCAGCTAACCTTAAGAGTGCTAGATAGTGCAAGAACATTCTAGAGAAGCCTACACAACTCTAGCCTCAATATTTTAATATTGTTTCTAGATTCTTCCATTAAAATATCTAGATATTTGTTAAGTGAATTCTAGAGAATCAATTGTAACCGTAGGATAGATTTAATCTCCACCGTCCATTAAGGAGGTGAGAACATTCTAGATCTAAGGAGAGGTCTATAAATACCTCACCCTCCTCATTTGTAAATCATCCTTGAGTTCTCAAAGCTATAGAACTCTCACATTCTCTCTCTACTCTCCTTTACCTTCAAGCTTTCCCTTTCCTCTTCTTAGCCAAGTATCCTCCTTTCATACGAGTTAGGCTTACTTAGCAACTTTCAGTAAAGGTTGTCTAAGTGCCGCACGGGTCGAAAGACTAGCCCCGTGACACTACGCCACAGCCCACAATAACTTGCAGGTGAATTTATTTATTGCTGGGAATTTATGGGTGTTGGGCATTGATCTCATACTCAATTTGTAGTGGTGTTGTTGGAAATTTATGGGGTCCTTTTTATATCCCATTATTATTTCAGGCAATTGTGTGCATTGAGTAGTTAGATTTGTTGCTGGTTCCTATACACTAGAAAGCTTTCTTCATGAACATTGTGGAATCAAACTGCTCTCTTCATGAGGCCCAAAGCTATTTCTTTTCACATGGATCTTCCCAGCTTCGCCATTGACACATACACGATATGAACACAGGCAACCTTTGGAAATCATATAACTCAGTGTTATATGTGGGATTTTTGCATTATTTGATCCTTAACTGATCAGGAAGCTTCTATGTTCACTTTAGGAAGATATAGTGATCATTAATGTCAATTGGCATGCTCAATAATTAAGAGAAGGGGTGTAGTTAGGCAGATGTGTTGTATTTTTCTTCCCCTTGAAAGCCTCATGCCTTAGGAGAGTGAAGAGAGAATATAAATATACAACAACAACAACAACAAGCCTTTATCCTATTAGGTGGGGTCGACTAAGGGAGAATATAAATATAAATTATATATTTAAATTTTGTTTGCCATTCTTTTTTATTTTAGGCATGAAATATGAGCTTCATGTTTAGAGGATTTAAAGTAGACGTGTTGACATGGGTTCTCCATATTGTGCCTGAGAATAAAGGAATGTGCGCACGATTATTTTATTTAGAACTAGGCTCAACTTAGTAGAGAAAATAAACTTTGTTCATTAAATTGGGAGCAAAACACAGAGCCATATCGGTCTTAATACATCATGTTTAAATATATATATATATATATATATATGAACAAAATTCTCAATAGATGTTAACAATAATTAAAACATTGTGTATACTGTAACTGCAACGTCAAGTAATCAAGATAGAGAGTTATAGAGTAAGATTCATAAAAACTCTGATGATATCATCATGTGATGAATGGAAAAACTAAGCATGAAAAAACTTGCCGGACACTTTTCTCTCCTTCACAAATGTTCCTTATATCGATTGTTGCATACTAATAATATATATGTTTATAGTCATTTAATTTTATCTGGTACCCAACATGATTTACTGCATTGTATTTTATGTTTTCTTTTTTAATTTTTTTGGTTAATGTTGATTTATTACTGTTTCCAATAGTTTTGCCTCAGAAATATATAAGAAGACGAGGAGACGTCAATTTCTAACATTGGTTTTATTTAATGGCATGATTATCACGCCGCCGTTATTTAGTCAACGTTCTATGTCAGAAGCCACTAGGGGTTAGTATTTTTGGGGTGGAAAAATCCAACATCCAACCAATGATCGTTAAACACGTGTATACCAATAAGTTTGATTTAGAGTGATTTCTTAAGAAATTATGTCTATATGATAATAATGAAAGTTCAGTTGCTGATGGCCAGGATTGAAAAGGAGTAAATTGCGTGATCCAGTTAAAATGATACTAATAACAATCGGATTTGATCAATTGTGCGAGTTACGTATGTTTGGGAAACTAGCTTGGCTTTACGTTCGGACACATGTCAGATCCTACTTAATTTCTTTCTACGAAGGCTTTGAAGAAGGCTTACATGATGAAATGATTGAGGACAAAGCACTCATTCCTTTTTGTCTGTCCATGAATTCATTAGATGCTCTTCATCTACCTCCCTCGTCTTCACTCACTTTCCATCTTGAAGACAAAGAAAACTTTTCATTCAACCAACAAAAGTTAGTTCAATTGATAAGATTTCACTCATAATTTATAAAGTTATGATTGTTAATGGGTAACGTATAATCACTTCTGTAAATATTCATTAAATTTAAAGATATATTTTGATCTTGGTGAGTCTTTGAGGCCAAACCCGTTTAAACTTTTTCTTCAAATGTTATAAAACTTTTTGTTCATACAATTTAAAACTTATAATGTGCTATAAACAGATGTTGATTTTAGTAAGAGTTGTGTCCGTTCAAATATAATGTTTTAATTTTTAAATTTAAATGTGTGAATATAGAAAATATTTTTAAAAGAATTATTTTCAAATAGCTTTAACAATAAAAGCTACTCTCAAGCGAGCTTAATAATACTTGAATTTGTTTTGTTTAGGTTGGTATATAAAGAAAAAAAAAGACTTTTAGATTGCTTGATATTGCATTGGTTTTGATCAAAACTACCTTTCGCCCTCAAGTTAAGCCAACTTAATACTCATCGCATGTCTGATGCTTCCTTGTTTACTCACACATACACTTCATTCCAAAGCCTTGATTTATAAAAACAAAACACGTGTTAACTTGACCTAAATCTCTAATTGCATAATCATTATAGCTAAAAAATGTTTTTTTGGAAGAAAAAAATAAAAAAAATACAAACCGAACATTATTTGCCATGTCCTTATCTTCTATTTTACTGCTTTCTATTAGTATTAAATATGGAAGTTATTGACCTACTTAACTGGGAAAAGTTCCACTGGATGTGTGAGATAATGAGATTGACCTCAATAAAGAATGCTACACAATTTGTATAAAATCAATCATGAAGCCATCTCTTGGTGATAGGAATTGTTGGATTGATTCGAAGACTAGCAAATGATCCAACTCACGAATTTCTTCTCACAGCACTTCCCTTCCCTTCCATTTCTGGTTGGATAATCCTATAACAGATAATATTTTGAAATAGAGAAAAATAAAATAAAATATGTACTAATGTATTTCAGGAGAAAGAAGAGTATGGAAAGAAAGAGATAATCAAAAACGATTTTTTTTTAAAAAAATATGATAATATAATTGGGTTAGATTGAAATATTGTAAGGTTAAATTAAAAATAATTCTCACAATATATATATATATATATATATATTTTACATTGGTATTTAGACGATGACACTTGGTTATCCTAGGACCAACACCCATTTCTAATTAAACACGAATTTAAAAGAAAAAAACTTCCATACTTAACTTTATATATTTAATATGCTTGTTTTTGATTAAATCAAAAATGTGTATCTATGATAAATTATTTATTCTATAATAAATTTTTATTAATACTATTAACATATTAAAGTTTACATGTCTTAATTTGATTGGATAAAATTATATTAAATATATTAGCCTTGTTCTTAAAAATGATGTGAGATTTGTTTGGATATATGTATAGAATCAATTTTTACTACAAAACTATAGTTTTGGAAAATATTATCCAAACACCCTTAATTTTTTCAAATTTCATTTGCCTTATAAAATTTCTTTTGGCAAATTTTTTTTTAAAGAAAAATTAGTTATTTGATCTCTCTAGTTTTGACTAAATTATAACTCATTTTTAAATTTTAATTTGTTATAACTCAATTTTTATAGTTTTAATTCAATTTTAATTCAGTCCTTGAATTTTACTTCTTGTAATTTAGTTTTTATAGTTTCAACCATTTAAATATTGATTCTTCTAAAGATTAAAAGTGTTTGGTAATTTAAAATATCAACAATAAATGTTAACATAATTTTAATTTTTATAATTCCATTTTTTAAGATATAAGGACCAATATTTAAATGATTAAAAATATAAGGATTAAGTTGTAAGAGTTAAAATTTAAAAATTGAGTTAAAATCGAGTCAAAAATTTAGGGGCCATGCTAATGTACTTTGGATGATCCACATTTAGGTGCCAATGTGCACATTGAACTATTCATATGATTGAGAGCTCTCATAGTCTAAAGTTATAATGAGTCAAAGTTTAACAATTGAATTATAATTAAGCTAAAATTATAAGTATCAAATAATTAATTTTTATTTTTGAATTTGAGAATCAATTATTATCAATTGAACTTTTTTTTTCCTTCCACTTGA